ATTTATATTTTTTCTGCACATTTCCAAGGCAACCTTTGCTCATCCTGAAATACTTCTAGTCTGGGAGAGCAGGTTTCAGTAGTCCTGAAGAAGTATGAGCTACCTGTGCTCTTGATAAAGACTATCAGCCTAAAGGTCAACCCTCAAAAAATATAGCTAAATAAAAATTTTCCATCAGCATTACAGTCTCCTTCTCTTAACTAAAAGGATCACTTTGCCATGTGACTGTAGATGTTTCAAAACTTTTAGTGGAAAAATGGTTCTTTCCTCCATGGCTTCTGAGACATCAGCAACTTGTCTAGTTTGCTGATAGGAAGTTGTGTCCTCTAGGATACTTTTTGATTAAAAAAAAAAAGGCATGAAAAGCTCTGGCTTTTGAGTTTCAGAAGGACTGAAATGGCAGGGGATATCAGAAATAATCTCAAATCTTTCAAAATGAAATGTCACTCAGACTTTTTCAGAGCAAAGTTAAAGTAATAACAACAACAACAATAATAATATAGCTAAATTTCTTTTCTCCCATTCTGAAACATCACATTATAGAACTATGCCTTAGATTGACATTAATACATGAAAGGCCCTGTGCAGCATTCTGATTTCAAGAAAAGAAATTGAATTGAGAGGGGATATTCAAAGAAGCAAGTATCTGTCAGCAGAAGCAGATATTACACCCTCAGTATCCCATGAAACTGGTTGTACATTATAGGATGCAGATGAATATATGAATCTCTACTACAAATGAGGTGTGCTATGTTTTCAAGTGACTTCAGGCCAGTTTTTTAACTGATGAAAAAAGATCAGACACTGACAGATATTTAGGCAGCAAAGGTTGCAAACAAATTTCTCAAATGACTTTCAAAAAGTATCTGGCATTAAATTAATTTCTTTACATTTCATTACATTGATTTCCTGCACCTTTAGAGGCTAAAATTTCATTTGAAATTTGTCTTTTTAACATCAATCCACTGCATGCAAGCAGAGTTCTGAAACAGATGCAAAAGACTTTCTCCACAGAACAGTAATAAGAAACTGTGAATATAATTAGGAATATTTATCAAAAAGGAATTTAATTCACACCTTACTTGCCTCCAGTTCTTTTTATTACAGATTACATAGCAGTCACTCTTTAAGGTGCTGCAGGGAATTTAATGTAAATGTTTACTTTTCTATCAAATCTCTATCTTATACTGAAAACATAGCAGCTACACTTGAATATAATGCAACTATATGATGTGGTAGAGGATATTCCTTGCCTGGAGCCTAATTGCTGCAATTCTCAGGCAGAACATCCTATCCCAAAGCTTTTCTATCAGAACAGTTTAGCTGCTTATTCCCACAAATATTCAGGTAGTGAAACTGCCTTCAGTCAGCCTTCTTCTCTTACAAAGAATATATGGACTATTAATGTAGTTAGAAGTCTAATGACTGTATAGACTGAAACTGTAATCAGTGGACACTCTCACAGTAGATCCCCTTGGCTGCTACTCATTATCTGTAGAAAATAAAAAAATTTTGTTTATCTCTACGGATCTAAATTATCATACTGGATGGATGCAAGGCCAGAGGATGCATGCCTAGTAAAAGTATTGCAAATGTTTTTTGGCTTGGACAGTTCAGACTAAAACTTGATCTGACAGCTCCTTGATAAGCAATTGAGCTCCAGAAGCGTTGTTGTGGGATGTCACAGAATCACAGAATGGCCTGGGTTGCAGGGGCCTTAAAGATCATCTAGTTCAAACTCACCTACCATGGGCAGGGTCATTGTTCACAGTTTGCTCAGAGCTCCATCCAACCTGGCCCTGAACACTTCCAGCAAAGTACCATCCACAACTTCTGTGGCCAACTGCTCTAGTGCCTCACCACCCTCACTGCAAAGATTTTTTTTCCTAATATCTAATCTAAACTTACTCCTTTTCAGTTTGAAGCCATTCCCCCTTGTAAATAGTTTCCCCCCAACTTTCTTCTAGGCCTCCTTTAGGTATTTGACTTGATTTAATTAGTAATCTATATTGGGATTGGGTGTTTCTTAGATACAAGAACATTACTGGGGTGATTAAGCAATATTACAACAGAATTTTAAGGAAAAGCAAAAATGTCACTCTTCAAAGCAATCTGAGTGAGACATGGCTGTGGGGCTGTGGTATTCTTTCATAACTGTCAGTACCTCTAGGAAGGTGAACACTTCAGAGAGTTAGCCTGGATTTTGGAAGCACTTTCCCTACATTTTCTGTGTCACCTCAAGCAACTCAGTCTCTCAAAGTTTCAGATGCCCAGCTGTTGACTGGGAATTAAAGTGATTTACTTCTCCATAAGGGTGTTGTGAAGGTTATCCATAACAGACTGTGCAGTGTTCAGAAACTATGGTCCCAGCATACATAAATACCTATGACACAATGATCACAAAACAATGTGTATAAATTGTGTCACAAAATCAAGCTTCTGAAAAGCTTGTACCGCTGTACAGGAAGGACTCACCATGGCAGAACTTCAGACTGAGTTCAAAGAGTACAAAAACAATGAAAAAAAACCCCACATTTTCAAACATGATTTAATTCACTAGAAGTTAACTGTTTCTTCACTTCTGACTCTTAAAATGTTCCTAAATGTACTTTAAAAAAAGGAAAAAAACCCACAAGTTAAATGATTGCACAATACATGCAGACTGAGAATAGGCCTTTTTTAGTTTTGTGCTCTGTAAGGCACTTTACAAGCCCCATCTTTCAGACAAAGGGTTTATGTTTAGAAGAAAACCACCATAAATTGTACCAGGAGACGACAGCAAAAGCTTCTTCAGGAACATCTCATCAGCATCCAGCATGCAGGAGGATGGTGCAGATGAAGTTTTTTTGGGAAAAGCTCACTTCCTTGGTCATGTGTGCTCGGTGGTTGAAGGAGTCCTTGGCTCCCTGCCTCTGTCGCCCTCTCCACACAGAGAAGCTGTGTGCATGCTAGAAAGGGTGATTGTGATCATTTGGGTTGGGATTTTTTGTGTTTGTTTGGCCCCATGTAATAATTGGTTCAAACAAAAATTTTGCTTCCTCTGAGTATTTACTGGGTGAAAAGGACACTGTATCTCCACGTCTGTCTCATTCTGTAGCCTGTCAATTTTAGAGGCTTGTATAATAAAAGATGCCTAAGTTTCAGTCCCTGATCCAATAAATGTTTATGTACAATAGTCTGTAGCAATGCCAACATGAGAGATTTTCATCAACTCACATTCCTGACTAAAAAATGATCTTAGAATCTGATTAATGTGGGCTTAAATCCCCTTAAGTAGAAGACTCAAATCCCATAAATCCCAGCTGAATCCCTTAAGCAGCAGGCTGAGTGGTGAATGGTACATCTTCCATGATAATTTTATGAAGTCGATAAATTTATTCCATCTGAAACTACTAATTATTGGCTTCAGGTTGTTTTTCTTCCTGGGGAGGTGGGGTGAAGCCAGGAAAAATATCAATCTACTCCTAAGTTAAAGTGCCATTTTTATTTTCCTTTGAGAGGACGGATTGCAGCTACTGCAGGCTCCTATTGAGCCCACATAAACGTGTGTGTGTATATTTGTTTCCTGTGTCGGTTCGAATCTCTATTTTGGCATCACGATTTTCCCACAAGAATTTAAGATTATTTTTCAATTACGGCCTTATCAGTAGATTGCAGTAACTGGAGAATAAAAAATTCAGGTCCTCAAAACTTGCAAGCTATAGGGATGGTGTCTGCATAAGTTATTTAATTTTCAGAAGCATTGATCCTCTAATTGCCTTCAGCACCTTAAAATTTTTTCCACAATAAATTAAAAGCCTGTTTTAAAAATACTGCTTTTTGCCTCACAATAAACTTCCAGATTATCAGAAAATATAGATGATTTAGGAAATATGAAGATTTTTCTGAGGAAGATTTTATCTGAGGAATATAAAATACATGGCATTTCAGAAGAATTACTAACCATAACAGTTTTGGGGAATTTGTGTGAGGAGTCATGAGAGTTCCATAAATACAATCTATTGGCTGGAAGATACTATACTAAAGAAAGTTAAAATCCCATGATTAGTTTAAACAGTTGTTATGTATCAATTGAATCAGTATCATTAAAAAAATAGGAGGGCAAAGGAAAAACAAAGATTTTTCCATCTGCTGAATTAAATATTTTTGAGGTTGTCTGCTGTGCTGTGAAATAGTGACCAATAAATTTATTTTTAAGATAAGATGGCAGTGTTCTACCCAAAGATAATAGTTCATAACAACAAGCACCACAAATTTTTATACCACTCACATGAAACAAGAGTCAATAACCTTTTAGGCAAATGACTGTGGTATGGCTGATAAATAACAGGTTGCTTCCACCTACCCATATCTCTCCCCTTTCGGTGACACCAAAGATGGGAGTATTCAAGAATCCTTTTAGACCTAACAGGCTTCAACTGACCCTTTTAATGCCAATTCTTCGATTTAGATTTGCCAAAATCTGTCTTCCCAGACTTTAGAAAGCAGGGATCACCTATATAATAATTCCCCTTCTACTGCCTTCAAGTATCTTGTTTTGTTTTAAATCAAATAAAGGAAGTATATGCATCTGAGGTAGAGCTCTCCCATTCTTTACAATATCTAATAAGTTTTACATGCACTCATATAAAACATGAAGCTTTTTCCTATCAGCTCCTAATTTCTCTGGACCAGTGCATGGTTCCTGGAGGAACTGAACATCAAGTTTATTTTGAACCCTATTTACCTACTTTGCCATTTCACTTACTCTGTGCCTCAAAGCATTTGGCACTTACCACCACCACATTATAATTTCTGTTTTTCAGCCATGCTATTGAAACAGCATTACCAAAATTACTAACATTTCTATCAAGTTTTAAAAAGTAACTTTGGTTATCCAAGTGATTTTTAATGAAGAACCCAAAAACTTAACACAGTTAATATTTTCTGGTTTATTTACACTATCTTATTTTCCATACTTCAGGTGTAAAACATTGTATATAAAAGTAAACATAACTTACCAAAATCCACAAGCTTGACTCCTCCTTCAGTGGTCAAAAGGATATTATTTCCCTTAATATCACGGTGGATTGTTTTGTTTTCATGCAAGTGCTGAAGTCCCTGGAAGGCAAGATGTAAACATGAACTTTTAACAACACCTCTGTCCTCTGTATTACATTTGCAGAAATTACAAGGTAGTGGAAAAGTATGAAAAATACTCGAACCTTCTTTTTTTAATCCAAAACCACGGGGCTGTCATTCTTACTGCAAAATCATTTGCCACATGACAAGGAAAAAACAGTCTTTAATTGCCCTACTCTATGACAAATAGAAATTTTAAGACAAAAGTAGAAAAATATTACTATAAATCTACATATAATACCTTTAGAGCATAAACTTAAAGAAAACTAATAAGACCTAAATTCCACTGGAGAAAGTAAAATTTAAGTTATAAAAAAATGCTAAATAAAGACACTTGATTCCAATGATCAAAACCAAATTCTCGTAGCAGGCTTTGAATTTGCTAGATATGTAGATTATTATACTATAAAAATAGTTTAGATCTAGACATAGGAAGCTGAACAGTATTTTGATGATGTTTCTGCTATTTCTTAAAAGAAAAGCAATTTTGATGCTGAACTGTATTTACTAAGAAAATTGATCAGTGGTCAGAAATCAATTTTCATTCTCTTAATAGTGAAACAAACAGATTAACTGCTATTTACCTTGTTTAAAAAGAACCATCCTAATTACACATTGCCTTGATTTCATTAAACACTGCTATAATACAAGATAGTGAGCTGTGTTAGTGGAGACATGATCTTCATTCATTTAAAGAAAAAAGTATGAGCTGAATATTGATTGTCCTTAAAAGCTTATCTTACCATCAGAGCTTCACGTAAAATGTAAGCAATGATAAGTTCATTCATCCTTTCACCTCTCTTCAGAAATCCTTTCACAAGATCAGTCACAGATCCACCATTGCACAGCTATAAAACATAATGGGAATATAAAAAGGAATTAAGGAGTAGCCACCTGGTTTTAATTTTCAGTATTTTTTTTGTATATGTAGCCAAATGAAATTCTACTAAACTGGCAAACCAAAAAATTATCCTTAAGTCTACCATTTATACAAACAACATACACAGAAATTTTTGTCAGTCATTTTTCACTACTTTCTGCATTTAATTCCTCTTGTCCAAACACAAGTATAGTGGTGTATCTCTTTGTTTTCCTATATCCATGATTGCTTTTCACTGAAACAGAAGTAGATTACAGTCCAATAAATTAGCTGTGAAGGCATGTTTTGTGGGGCATACTAATTGCTTCTTATACTCATCATGTGGAACTCACCACCAATGCAGATTATTACATCATCAATTCTCAGGTACAAAAGCTATGCACTGTAAAAAATGGATTTAAGGCATCAGAAGACAGGCAACGGAGAAATTTCCCCAACGTGAAATCTACCAATGCTAAAGCTGCCCTTTTAGCCAAGCACCACTTAATTCCTAGCATAGGGAAATGTAATACACAAGGCATGGGCATCATGAAAGTACTGTGGAAAGAAAGGTCTCCCACTGAAACAAGGTGTGCTGTGGGTATAAGACTAATTATAGACTATACATAGGCTATATATAATTATAGCCTTTGTTGCATCAACCCTGTCAGCTCCTGAGCCACAGTCTGCTCTGGATAATCCCCTCCCACTCTCCAGAGGGGAGCCCAGACAGACTCCTGCAAACCCCTTTCCTCTCCCATATATGTGGGAAGAAAAGACCTGGCCTTGCTCTCAAGAAAGGATAGTGAGAACATATTACCAGCAGATTAGACTGCAGTACTTCATATGTTCCTTTTTATAATTTTTCTGCTAGAAGAAGCAACAATGTAACTTTAGTGAATACCTACTACTATAGGAGTTACACGTCTGCAAAAATGAAATTGGCCCTTAAACTATCCATAATGCACCTCACAGTACTTGTTAATTGAAAAGCCTTTTGCCTCTGTAAAGGACTAACTGCTTCCAAAAAAACAGTAAAAGAAACTTGAATTCTTATACATCACCCAGTAGATTTTTACATGAAACTAAATATCCATATAAAGTATTTTAACAATGCAGCACTAAACAGTAATTCCTTTGCACTCCATTTCAATTATATTCAAATCAAGGGCATCATTTACCAGTAAAACCTTTCAACTGCAGAATTCTAGACATCAGATTCTTTTGTATATGCGTATTTTTCATCTGTTCTTCTACACTCCTACATATTTTTCTGCGCTATAATTTAAAAAAGACTTGCACCTTACAGCATTTTCTATCCCTTTGTACCCAAACATAACAATAATTCTCTGACTACCATTGAAACTCCTAGGCTGCACTGAACTTGCACCACATGAATGCCTACAGAAATGCCATTCAATACATAACCCTTGTTGCAAGATGTGTCCCCCCTCAGGTCAGCAGGGCTCTGGTCTGACAGGGGCTGAGCTCTTGGAACTCACTTAACCTCACTCTTACCTAAGTGGGACAATGTGCATGCTTAGAGAGGGAAGAACTCATATGCTTAAACGATGGGATTAAATGCTTTGCTGGATAAGGATCAGATTCCCAAGCAGGATTTTATTCACTGTCATTAGCCATGCTGGTCTGCCTTCTACACTGACTTTTTCAAGTTAGTTATTTTTTTACAATGACATTTTCTTTTCAGGGTTTCTATTTTAACTTTGGCACATCACTGACATATTCAATCAAACCAAATGGATTATGACAATTCTGGCCAATTTAATGTTCTTGAATTCAGAGCACTGAAACTGTCTGACAAGTAACAAACCAATTGTGAAATACATTACATGTATGATATTCTTCAAACTATTTGTCTTCTTTATCTCATATTATATTTTGCTTCTTACAAATGGATCTTCTTTCTTTACAGAGCTGTATACCCGTTCAATGTAAAGAAAACTAATGCAAAAAGGAATATATTCTTTTTGTAGGCAGAAGAAGGGAGAGACTGTACTTCAGAAGTCACCCTCTTTAATGTTTAGGCAGTAAAGCCAATATTTTGCCTGGGTCAACAATGTTAATTTTCACTTTCTTTTACATGTTGCTCTAACTAATTTTTTTACTGCTCTCATAAGATATAAATCCTTATTACAAGATAAATATCCGCATTATAAGATAAAACTTACTTAAAATAGCAGGTAATGTAAAATACTAAAACTGTGATTATTTTAGACCAAACAAAAACTGAACCTGGGCATGTAAAAGGTCAGCTAAACAGGTCTTGAAATAAAGAACCCAGAAGTCAGCCCTACCACCAGGGGAAACCTCCACCAACTCCCAGGGCAGGGTGGCTGCTTAGACAGAGGTCAGATGAGGATGCTACAGACACAGGTTCTTGCACACACACAGGACAACTTTTCTTTTGCTACTTCTGTGTCAAAGAGCTGTACTTTTACTTACATCAGACAGTAAATATTTTTTTGAGACCACCAGCATAGGAGGAAGAGGGGGAAAAAGGCTGGGTATTAGAATGCAAGCAACTGTAAGGAAGAAAAGGGATTATTGGAATACCACAATTAGAAAAGGAGATTATGGCAGACACTGCGTGTGTGTGCTCTACATTGTGAGGGTGGGAGGGGGAATGATGACGACAGCGATGACACAGGTTAGTATTAACCTTGTTCTATTTTTACCATCATGGGTAAAATGTTGTATCTGCTCTAATTTCCTATATTTACTGTGCATTTTTTGGAGGTGAAGCTGCCATATTTGTCTAAAACCTGCACATAACTAAAGCTGAAATGGTGAGTCTTTCTCTTGACATAGGTTATCAAGCTGCATGTGTAGTCAATCCAGAGGTATCATAAACACCTCAAAAAATCCCTCTCCTAACAAGTCAGGCTCTTCTCTTCCATCTCAAAACAAGCAGCTATAGAAAGTTAGAATACTCCTGCCAAATACAGTGCTGGACCATGGTTGCTTGGGCTTTGAATAGAAAGGAAATAAATTATCCTTGGGGATGTTGATCAGATCTAATCCACAGAAACTTAATTTAAAAAAACACATAACCTTGATTTATATAATCCTTTAATGAGAGATTATGGGATAAACATTATTTAGCAGTACTGCTAGGCAGAAAATTTCCTGGGGTGTTGTTAAATATTGCAGCTTATACTTATGATATGTGCTGCTTCTTAGTAGCATGCTGTCCACAGTAAAGACACTGTGTAACCTCTTAGCAGAGCTTCTCAGTTCAAGTTAAGCCAACTGAAATGCTTGGATGACAAGAAATCAAGAAAGCAACAGAGATATTTTTTTAAAAAGATCTTTCTAGTTTTCAGTGAAGCATCTCGAGAAAGGAGGTACTGGTAGCTATTATTACTGCGTTGCAAACACTGTGAACTCAGGTGACCAAACAGCTGACCAGTCTGTGTCATTTGCTCTACAGCATTTAGTAAAATCTCCTCAGAGCACCTTGATGGCACTATAAGCAGAGAACAAGAAATGCACAGAGAACTTGGGACAGCCATGCAGCAGGAGCTACATGTCTGACTGAGCTCTGCCCCAGGGCTGCTCCCTACCCTGAAGGTCAAAGCAATTCACCAAATCAAATGACCTTTCACCTATCATGAGACATGACCTCTTCTGGGAGGACAGGACCATAACTATTTTTCTTTCCCACACCAGAGACCCACACACATTCACACATGTTCTCTTTGCATTTCTTGTGGTTTGCATCAGATGGAAGCCCCCATTCAGCTTTGAATATACTCAGCTTAAAGGGACAGGGTCTTGGAATGTCCAGGCTGTGAGACACAGGAAGGCAAGATATTTGTGATCATCCCACAGGGAAGTAATTTAGAAATGTCAGAACTTTGCACATGGGCAATTTTCATCAAATTAATATTAGTCACTTCTTCTATTGTCCCCTTGTGATTTAGAGGTATTTTCCTTACTGGCAGTTTTTTCAGTGCCTGCATTGATAGAATGCAAATTTTATCTACAAAAACTGAAGCCTTGAGGCTACCTAAAATAGGGTGGAGAAGACGAGAGACAGAATCTTTCTAGTGTCACACAGCAAAGGATGAGAAGCAAACCCCCCCACTGCAAGACAGGAGATTCCTACTGGACATAAATGAAAAATTTTCCAACTCAATTAAGCACTGAGAGATTACACAGTGATTCTGTGTTACGTCCATCCTTGGAGATATTCAAACTTGAATTGAAAAGATAAATCTGTAACATTTTAGTTAATAGTCTTTAAGCAAGGGGCTGGACCAAATAACTTCCCAAGTTCGCTTCCATACTGTATTTTTATATGATTCAGAATTTTACAATATTCAGTCCTAGTCTGGATTTGCAGACAGCAGAAAGGGAGGGAAAGAACGAAGGAAATCTTGCATATCTCAACCAATGGAAAGAAAAATTTAATAGAAAGCTTGATTCATATAAAAAACTGCCTTAAAGAGCTGTAGCTCTGATGGACATGCATAGTTGTATCAAAAGACGTGCTTAGGAATCTTCTACAGTGGTAGAAAAGGGTTCCTCCCTCATGATTTTCTGGCACTCAAAAAGGCAAAGACTCATACTGGGATGACATGCAGTTCTCCACCTACCCATCTGCCACAACCATGTGCTACTGTAATTGAGCTATTAGTATGCTAAGCTATCTTCAGCAAAATAATATAGAAAAGCATGATCCTAACACATTAAATGTCACTTAAAATTGCCATCACATCACAGTCATGCAGATGTTCTTTTTAGTTCTTAGTCACTCTCCACCTGACCCAGTTAGACATTTCTCCTCTTCAGCTCTTCTTGATGCTGATGCCCATTGAAGATTCAGTATCAGCTCCCCTTTTAAGAAAACTATCAATTGTACTTTTGCTAGGGGAATTAGACTTTAATCAACCAACTGCTCCTGACTTATGCATCTGTACTAAGCTGTCAGGTACTGTTTGCTTACACCCTGCAGTTGTCAAGGTG